GTGCCAAGACCGAGGAAAGGAACTCGGTGGCTGGCAAATTCTGACCTCAATTGCCCTTTTTTTCTCATTCCTGCTTTCCGTTGTGTAAAAGGAGTCCAGAGGCCCCAAACACCCCAGACTGAACCACGGAGAAGAGTTAATAATAATAATAATAATAATAATAATAATAATAATAATAATAATAATAATAACAACAATAATAATAATAATAATCTGGAGAAGATAACAAAATACAAAGACCTACAAACAGAAATAGAAAGACTGTGGCAAAAGCAAGCAAGGGTAGTACCAATAGTCATAGGCTCCTTGGGTGCAATCCCAAAACAACTAGAGCACCACTTGAACACAATTGGCATTGACAAATTCGCTATTAGTCAATTGCAAAAGGCGGCCTTATTAGGAACTGCTTCCATCCTGCGACGATACCTGTAATACCATCAAACACCCACATCTGCCTATCCCAGGTCCTGGGTAAGGACTCGATAGGTAGACAAAATGCCAAATCCAGTCTGAACATCTGGCTGACTGTGCGATGATCCATAATAATAATAATAATAATAAACAATTGTCGATAAGAAAGACAAAAAAGTCTGGATAGTGGACGTGGCAGTGCCTGGAGACAGCAGAATAGACGAGAAAGAACTGGAGAAGATAACAAAATACAAAGACCTACAAATAGAAATAGAAAGACTGTGGCAAAAGCAAGCAAGGGTAGTACCAATAGTCATAGGCTCCTTGGGTGCAATCCCAAAACAACTGGAGCACCACTTGAACACCATTGGCATTGACAAATTCGCTATTAGTCAATTGCAAAAGGCAGCCTTACTAGGAACTGCTTCCATCCTGCGACGATACCTGTAATACCATCAAACATCCACATCTGCCTATCCCAGGTCCTGGGTAAGGACTCGATAGGTAGACAAAATGCCAAATCCAGTCTGAACATCTGGCTGACTGTGCGATGATCCATAATAATAATGATGATGATGATGATGATGATGATGATGATGATGGAAGGGACCTCGGAGGTCATCTGGTCCAACCCCCTGCTCAGGAAGGAAACCCTACACCATTTCGGACAAATGGCTGTCCAGTCTCTTCTTAAAAACTTCCAGTGTTGGAGCATTCACCGCTTCTGGAGGCAGGTTGTTCCACTGGTTCATTGTTCTCACTGTCAGGAAGTTTCTCCTTAGTTCTAGGTTGCTTCTCTCCTTGATTAGTTTCCATCCATTGTTTATTGTCCTGCCTTCAGGCACCTTGGAAAAAGCTTGACTCCCTCTTCTTTGGGGCAGACCCTGAGATATTGGAAGACTGCTATCATGTCCCCCCTCATCCTTCTGTTCATTAAACTAGATATACCCAATTCCAGCAGCCGTTCCTTATATGCTTTAGCCTCCAGTCCCCTAATCATCTTTGTTGCTCTTCTCTGTACTCTTTCTAGAGTCTCAACGTCTTTTTTACATTGTGGTGACCAAACCTGGATGCAGGATTCCAAGTGTGGCCTTACCAAGGCCTTGTAAAGTGGTATTAATACTTCACATGATCTTGGGTTAGAACATTTAGAAATGCAGCACACGGCCGGCTCCTAGTCAAGTGATTGTCCTCTAGGGACACCAAGATCCCTCTCACAGTTACAGCTGTTGAGCCAAGACTAGGTGAAGCTTGGCTCAATAGCAGGAACTGCAAGAGGGATCTCGGAGTCCTAGTGGACAATCTCTTAAATAGGAACCAGCCATGTGCTGCAGCGGCCAAAAAAGCCAACACAGTGCTAGGCTGCATTAACAGAGGGATAGAATCAAGATCACATGAAGTGTTAATACCACTTTACAAGGCCTTGGTAAGGCCACACTTGGAATACGGCATCCAGTTTTGGTCACCACGATGTAAAAAAGATGTTGAGACTCTAGAAAGAGTGCAGAGAAGAGCAACAAAGATGATTAGGGGACTGGAGGCTAAAACATATAAGGAACGGCTGCTGGAATTGGGTATGTCTAGTTTAATGAAGAGAAGGACGAGGGGGGATATGATAGCAGAGTTCCAATATCTCAGGGGCTGCCCCAAAGAAGAGGGAGTCAAGCTATTTTTCAAAGTGCCTGAAGGCAGGACGAGAAGCAACAGATGGATACTTATCAAGGAGAGAAGCAACCTAGAACTAAGGAAAAACTTCCTGTTAGTGAGAATAATTGCACAGTGGAACAACCTGCCTCCAGAAGCGGTGAATGCTCCAACACTGGAGGTTTTCAAGAAGAGTCTGGACAGCCATTTGTCAGGAATGATACAGGGTTTCCTGCCTGAGCAGGGGGTTGGACTAGATGACCTCCAAGGTCTCTTCCAACTCTGTTATTCTGAGGAGGAGGGGGGGAGGAAGGAAGAAAGGAAGGGAGGGAGGGAGGGGGAAGGAGAAGGAGAGAAGGGTCTCCTGCTTGAGCAGGAGGTTGGACTAGTTGACCTCCAAAGTCCCTTCCAACTCTATTATTCAGTCCTGCAGGATTAGGTCATCTGCTCAGCTAATGCAGCATCCTGATTGTCCAGTGCCAATGAGATAGGTTTGAGAAGCATATAAAACTGGCCTTTATCATCTTTTTGGAACAAACCATGATTTAGAATCATGGCTGAGAATTCAGGAGGTCCAACCAGCTATCAGGAATAGCTAGCTCCTCTGAGCCTCTCTACTTCTTAAAAGCATCTAACTTGGTTGTCGTCATTGTGTCATGTGGCTTGGGACCTCTGCATCTTCCAGGTGACTTGGTCGTCTGCCCATCGCTAAAAGTGGGGTTCGTGGAAGCTCAACCTCCTAGAAATGCCATTTACAAATGTGGATCCTTTCCTCAGAATACCATATGAGCAGTGGTGGTGCAGTGGTTAGAGTGCAGTATTGCAGGCTAATTCTGCTGACTGCCGGCTGCCTGCAGTTGGGCAGTTCGATCCTGACCAGCTGAAAGTTGACTCAGCCTTCCATCCTTCCGAGGTCAGTAAATTGAGGACTGGGACTGCTGGGGACAATATGCTGACTCTATAAACAGCTTAGAGAGGGCTGTAAAACACTGAGAAACGGTATATAAGTCTAAATGCTATTGCTATCTGGCGGCGGATAAACACAATGCATTGGTTACTATAAGTGCTATTGCCCTTCCTTCCTTCCTTCCTTCCTTCCTTCCTTCCTTCCTTCCTTCCTTCCTTCCTTCCTTCCTTCCTTCCTTCCTTCCTCCCTCCCCCCCTCCCTCCCTCCTTCCTTCTGTGGTGTTGAAGTGGTTAGAATACAGTATTGGAGGCAAACTCTGCCCATAGCCAGCAGTTCGATCCTGACTGACTCAAGGTTGACTCAGCCTTCCATCCTTCCGAGGTCGGTAAAATGAGGACCCGCATTGTTGAGGGGTGCAAGATGCTGACTCTGTAAACCGCTTAGAGAGCACTGTGAAGCGGTATATAAGTCTAAGTGCTATTGCTATCTGGCGGCGGATAAACACAATGCATTGGTTTTGAAGCTTCCTTGCTGCAGGAAATTGTTAACCAGTAGTCCTCCTGTTACGACAGGTCCCGAATTTATGATGGCCTCTCTCCTTCCCCCGATGGTCATGTGATCACATTTTGGGCATTTGGCAACTGGACTGCAATTACAGCTGTTTGCGAACGAATTGTCTTTCAGCACTCAAGAGATGAGCAAAGAGTAGCAAGTTTCAGGCTAGAAAGAGGTCGCAGCCACAGTGGGCAGACAAAAAAGAGGCTGATCTTCCTAAATTAGCATTTTTTAAAAATGTCTTTGATCGCAAAAGAGGGTGAAGACAAGAGAGAGAGTTCTAGTCCTGGCTAGGTGATTGTAGGCCAATCCCCAGGAGACGGTGAATTCTAGTTCCATCATAGGCATGAAAGCCAGCTGGGTGACTTGGGGCCAATTATCAGGAGACGGTGAATTCTAGTCCCGCCTTAGGCATGAAAGCCAACGGGCTAACATTAAGCCAATAACCAGGAGAGGGTGAGTTCTAGTTCCTCCTTAGAAATGAAATTGACTTTGGGCCAATCGCTAGGAGACTGAGTTCTAGTCCTGCTTTAGGCATGAAAGCTGGTTGGGTGACTTTGGGCCAATTACCAGGTGACGGTGAATTCTAGTCCCATCTTAGGTGTGAAAGCCAATTGGCTACTATTAGGCCAATCCCCAGGAGAGAGTGAGTTCTAGTTCCATCATAGGCATGAAAGCTGGTTGGGTAACTTTGGGCCAATTACCAGGAGATGGTGAATTCTAGTCCCATCTTAGGTGTGAAAGCCAATTGGCTACTATTAGGCCAATCCCCAGGAGAGAGTGAGTTCTAGTTCCATCATAGGCATGAAAGCTGGTTGGGTAACTTTGGGCCCGATCCCCAGGAGACGGTGAGTTCTAATCCTGCCTTTGGTCTGAAAGTCAGCTGGGTGACTTGGGGTAAATCAGTGGTTGTCAACCTTTTTAATGCCGCGACCCCAACCGGTCGTAAGTCGAGGACTACTCAACCGGTCGTAAGTCAAGGACTACTCAACTGGTGCAGCACCGTTTGCAGAATGGGACTTTTGGCGGGCTCAGCAGGGCAGAGACAGCCTGGACAATTCCTATTGGGTTTTGAAAGCCAGTAGAATTAGACTCTATTCAAGAGAGTCTCTTCTATTGGCTTTCAAAAGCCAATAGAATAAAAGGGAGTAGCACAGCTAAGGAAAAGGGGGAAAAAAATGGCAGACTGCATTGTTTGGCGACCCCCGTGAAATGGTCGTTCGACCCCAAATGGGGTCCCAACCCACAGGTGGAGAACCAGTGGGGTAAATCAATTTTTTTCGGCCCAGCCTGGCTCACGGGGTTATCGTTGTGGGGAAACTTGGAGGAGGATAGAGGATTAAATACATTCCCTTGCCTTATTGATAAAAGTAATCAAGGCGGGATAGATAAGTAAATAAATAAGCCTTTGTGAGGTTGGCCCATCTGACTCAGATACGCTCTTTTGTTGATTCAGCCCACGTCCCTTTCTCTCCCCCTTCAGGTTGACGGGCAATGAGCCCCTGACCATCCTCCCTCTCACCACAGAGATGGAGGAAGCCGCCATCAAAGCCCACTACAACGTGTGCGACCGTCTGAAGCTGGAAAAGAAGCAACGCCGGATGTGCCGCAGAGACCCCGGCGTGGCTGAGACCCTCATGGAAGCCATTAGCATGAGTGCGCTGGAATGCCAGTATCAATTCCGCTTCGAGAGGTGGAATTGCACCCTGGAGGGGCGCTACAGGGCCAGCCTGCTGAAGAGAGGTTAGTGGGAGTCCTCTACTTACCACCGGAGGAGGAGGAGGAGGAGAAATGTAGGGTGATCTCATAGCTTGGTGGTTTTCTTGCAGATCTTTCATGACCCAACTAAGGAACACTATCAGTGCTAGAAAGGGGATAATGGTTTGCAGGGAAGAAGAAGAGGAGAAGGAGGAGGAGGAGGAGGAGGAGGAGGAAGGAGGAGGAGGAGGAGGAGGAGGAGGAGGAGGAGGAGGAGGAGGAGAAATGTAGGGTGCTCTCATAGCTTGGTGGTTTTCTTGCAGATCTTTCATGACCCAACTAAGGAACATTATCAGTGCTAGAAAGGGGATAATGGTTTGCAGGGAAGAAGAAGAGGAGAAGGAGGAGGAGGAGGAGGAGGAGGAAGGAGGAGGAGGAGGAGGAGGAGGAGGAGGAGAAATGTAGGGTGCTCTCACAGCTTGGTGGTTTTCTTGCAGATCTTTCATGACCCAACTAAGGAACACTATCAGTGCTAGAAGGGGGATAATGGTTTGCAGGGAAGAAGAAGAGGAGAAGGAGGAGAAGGAGGAGGAGGAGGAAGAGGAGGAGGAAGAGGAGGAGGACTGTGGGGTCCTTGGTGTTATCTGAAATTAATTGTTTTCTTGCAGATGTTTCATGGCCCAACTAGGTAGCATCACCAGTGCTAGAAATGAGGGGAGGGTCTTTCTGATATTCCTTGACTTACAACCGTTCATTTAGTGACTGGTTATGACCAATCCCCAAAAGGGGATTTACGACCCGGATTCGAAATTCAGAAGGTTGGGCCCCCTCTGCAGTGAACTTTGTGTACTTGGTAACACACCATATCCTCAGCCGTTTATAACATCCCGCGGTCAAGGGACTGCATTTTACAATGGTCTTGCTCAAAATTGTCACCTACTTTTCGTTTTCAGCAAAACTGCACCCTTTGTTTCACCTAACCACCATGTGTTTGCTTAATGACTGCTACAAAAAGGTTACAATTTTTAGTCGCTTAGGTGACCAACCTGTTTCGGGACTGCTACAAAAAATGACTGTAATGGGAGCACTTGATTACAGTCATTTGATGAGGACTCTCTGTAATCAACTGTTTCTTGACCTTGGCTACTTTAAGATATGTGGATTTCAAATGGGAATTTTGGGAGTTGAAGTCCACCTGTCTTAAAGCATCCTGGCTGGGGAATTCTGGGAGTCGAAGTTCATCCATCTTCAAGCATGATGGCTGAGGAATTCTGGGAGCTGAAGTCCACCATCTTCAAGCATAATGACTGAGGAATTCTGGGAGCTGAAATTCACCATCTCCAAGCATACTAGCTGAGGAATTCTGGGAGTTGAAGTCCACTCATATTCAAGAATGCTGGCTTAGGAATTCTGGGACTTGAAGTCCACCCATCTTCAAACATGCTGATTGGGGAATTCTGGCAGATGAAGTCAACCTACCTCCAAGCATGCTTGCTGAGGAATTCTGGGTGTTGAGGTCCATCCATCTCCAGGGATGTTTGTTGAGGAATTCTGGAAGTCCACCCATCTTCAAACATGCTGACTGGGGAATTCTGGGAGTTGAAGTCCATCCATCTCCAAGCATGCTGGCTGAGGAATTCTGGGACTTGAAGTCCACTCATCTTCGCATACTGGTTGGGGAATTCTGGGAGTGGAAATCCACCCATCTTAAAGCATGTTGGCTGGGGAATTCTGGGAGTTGAAGTCCACCCATCTTAAAGCATGATGGCTGGGGAATTCTGGGAGTTGAAGTCCATCCATCTTCAAGCTTGCTGACTGGGGAATTCTGGGAGTTGAAATCCACCAATTTTCAAGCATGCTGGCTGAGGAATTCTGGGAGTTGAAGTCCATCCTTCTTAAAGCTTGCTGGCTGAGGAATTCTGGGAGTTGAAGTCCACCCATTTCCAAGCATGCTTGCTGGGGAATTCTGGGCGTTGAAGTCCACCCATCTCAAAATGGTCAGACCTGGGCAGTACCGCTCTAAGAGAGAACTTCGTTGTGCTAACAGCGTTGTCGTCTTCCTCCTCAGGGTTTAAGGAAACTGCCGTCCTTTACGCCATCTCTTCGGCGGGGCTGACCCACGCCATGGCCAAAGCCTGCAGCGCTGGACGTATGGAGCGCTGCACTTGCGACGAGGCCCCTGACCTGGAGAACCGTGAAGCATGGCAGTGGGGCGGATGTGGGGACAATCTCAAATACAGCAACAAGTTTGTCAAAGAGTTCCTTGGGAAGAAGTCCAACAAGGATCTGAGAGCTCAGGTGGACTTCCACAACAATTTGGTCGGGATGAAGGTAAGTGCCCATGATGGTTGCAGGCTGTAGCTGTGGAGAAGTAGGTCCTTCTTGAGGGACTGGGAAGAGCGCTAGGTAAAGATGGTTGAGGGCCACCAAAAATCTAGTGGGAGAAATGGTTGGCTGAGCATTCTGCTATGATGAAAGAGCAGGAGAAAGGAACCTTGGAAGACATGGATAATGTTTAGCTAGATTCTTCATGCAGCTCATCTTCATCATTTGTTGATTCACGATGTGCCTTCAAGTCAGAATTGACTCTTGGCAAATACCTAGTTAGATGTTCTCCAGGAGAATCTGGTCCTTCAGGTCTTCTAATGGTAGACCTATGGCTGCTTTGAGTCTTCTCCTCCTGTTCTTTCTCCTTCTCCTTCTCCTCATCCTCCCCCTCTTCTTCTCTTCCTCGTCCTCTTCCTCTTCCTCCTCCTCCTCCTTTTCTTCTTCTTCTTCTTCTTCTTCTTCTTCTTCTTCTTCTTCTTCTTCTTCTTCTTCTTCTTCTTCTTCTTCTTCTTCTTCTTCTTCTTTTCTTCTTCTTCTTCTTCTTCTTCTTCTTCTTCTTCTTCTTCTTCTTCTTCTTCTTCTTCTTCCTCCTCCTCCTCCTCTGCCTCCTCCCCCTCTCCTCCTGCTCCTCCTCCTTCTTTTCTCCTCCTCCTCTTCTTCTCTTCCTCCTCCCCTCCCCCCCTCTTCTTTTCTTCCTCTTCCTCTTCCTCCTCCTCCTCCTTTTCTTCTTCTTCTTCTCCTCCTCCTCCTCTTCTTCTCCTTCTCCTCCTCTGCCTCCCTCTCCTCCTCCTCCTCCTCCTCCTCCTCCCCTCCTCTTTTTTCTCTTCTTCTTCTTCTTCTTCTTCTTCTTCTTCTTCTTCTTCTTCTTCTTCTTCTTCTTCTTCTTCTTCTTCTTCTTCTTCTTCTTCTTCTTCTTCTTCTTCTCTCCGCCTCCTCCTCCTCCCCCCTTTTTCCCTCCCCTTCCCCCTTCCTCCTCCTCCCTCCCCCTTCCTCTTCCTCTTCCCCTCTTCCTGCTCCCTCCCCCCAGCTGGCTTCCAACAAACAAATTCAATGGAGAAAGCCCACCTCACTTAAGGATCGTGTGATTCCCTTAACAATTGCAGTGATTTGCTTAATCCCAGTGGCAAAAAAAAAAAAAGATCACAAAATCAGATACTTCACCAACACCTTGCTTAGCATCGGAATTCTGCTCCCCATTGTAGTCACAAGTCAAGGACCGGCTATGGTACCTATGCCAATGTTTGCTTCTCAGTTTCTCGTCCTGTCTTGAAGTTGCTAACTGCAGGAGCATCTTTCAGTCTGCAGGAGTTTCTGCCATTATTGTATGGAAGGAATTCCTCCTGTCAATCATAAATACTGCAGTGAGCCTTGATTACAAGAAGTCCCCTGACTTATGACTACAACTGAGCCCAGATTTTTTTTGTTACTAAGTGAGATACTTGTTATGTAAATTTTGCTGCATTTTATGACCTTTCTTGCAGTTGTTAAGTGAGTAACATGGTTGTTAAGTGAAGCTCATTGACTTTGCTTGTCAGACGGTCACAAAAGGGGATCACGTGACCCCAGGACACTGCAACCGTCATAAATAGGAGTCGATTACCAAGCGTCCGAATTTTGATCACCTGACCGAGTGGATGCTGCAATGGTCATAAGTGTGAAAAACAGTTCTAAGTTTTCAGTGCTGTTGTAAATCAAACGGTCACTAAACGAATTATTAAGTCGAGGACTACCTGTATTGGTCTGGGGGTTCTGCATCCAATTCCACAGTAGTTGAATTGAAGCCCACCCAATTTAAAATTTCCTCCAATGAAAGCTCAGCTCTTCTCAGGATTAAGGAATTTTGGCAACGCTCCACAGAGATGGAGTTAAAAAGTCAGTTTTAATGAAGCTTAAAAGAGCCCCAGGAGAGAGTCTTTTTTCCTTTTTAATTAAAGCTTTTTCTGAACCTCTAGCTGCCAGAACTGTGCACTAATTCGCACTAAGACTTTTCATTAAGGGGGTACAAAGGAGAATGTGGTCAAAAAAAGAGGGGGGGGATGGAGGAAAAAAGAGAATCACAGCAAGAAAAGAAGGAAAGGAAGAATGCAGAGAAGAGCAACAAAGATGATTAGGGGGCTGGAGGTTAACATATATAAAGAACGGTTGCTGGAATTGGATCTGTCTAGTTTAATGAAGAGAAGGACGAGGGGAGACATGATAGCAGAGTTCCAGTATCTCAGGGGCTGTCCCAAAGAAGAGGGAGTCAAGCTATTCTCCAAAGCGCCTGAAGGCAGGACAAGAAGCAACGGATGGAAACTAACCAAGGAGAGAAGCAACCTGGAACTAAGGAGACAATTTCCTGACAGTGGAATAACTCCAGAAGTTGCCGGTGCTTCATCATTGGAGATTTTAAAGAAGAGACGGAACAACCATTTGTCTGATATATTATAGGGTTTCCAGCTTGCGCAGGGGGTTGGACTAGAAGACCTCCAAGATCCCTTCCAACTCTGTTATTCTATTATTCTGAATAAAATAGAAAACAATCACTGGGTTTCATAACACTTGTGTCTCATTCTTCCTGCTCTTTAATCCCTTCTTCTCCTGCCCCGAACGGCTCCGATGTAAAGAGGCAAAATTGCTTTTTAAAAATCTGATCCCTATAACAAAGCCAGCCCCCCCCTCCCCCACCCCTTAAAGTATAGGTTTTGCAGAAGTCCTGCTAACTAATTAGCTCACTTTGCATGCCAGACAAGCTGGTCTTGGCACTGGGGGTTGAAATCCATACGGTAAACAGATGGGGGGGGGGGGGTTAATCTGCTCTCTGCCAGCTTGCCATCCGAGACCAAGAATGTGCAAAAAAAAAAAAAAAAAAAAATTAAAATTAATAAAAATAGAGAAGTCAGGAGGAATCTGTCCAGACAGATTGCAGCACTTTGTCAAATGTTGGCCCTCAGCAAAGCTGCATTATCCGAAGAAAATTTTTACATTGCAGAAATTCAAAAGCAAGCTTCATTCAGGAAAAGCAAAACAATTCAGGGAGTCCTCCACTTACGACCATTTGAAAAAAAAGGGACCGTTTTCCACACTTACGACCTTTGCAGCATCCCCATCGTCACCTGATCAAAATTCAGATGCTTGGCAACTGACTCATACTTATGACGGTCGCAGTGTCCCGGGGTCACGTGATTCCCTTTTGCGATCTTCTGACAAGCAAAGTTAATGGGGAAGCTGGATTTGGTTAATGACCGTGTGATTTACTTAGGAACGGTGGCAAGAAAAGTTGTAAAATGGGACAAAACTCACTTAACGACTGTCTCACTTAGCAACAGAAATTTGGGGTTGAATTGTGATTGACAAAGATGCCCTATTTGCCCATCCTTGATGTAGTCCAGTCCAAACCCAGGTCCAAAAATTCACACTCACACCTAAGTCTCCTGGACTCACCTGTGTGTAATGGGGTGGCTATATACATTTGTTTAATAAGTAAATAAATTAAAAGGAAGTTTTGGGAAATATAAGCCAGTGAATTGGACATGGACTTTTCTAAAGAAAAGAAGAAACAGGGGTAACGTGATAGCAGTGTTCCAATATCTCAGGGCCTGCCCCATAGAAGAGGCAGTCAAGCTATTCTCCAAAGCGCCTGAAGGAAGGACGAGAAGCAACAGATGGAAACTCATCAAGGAGAGAAGCAACCTGGAACTAAGGAGAAACTTCCTGACAGTGAGAACAATTAACCAGTGGAACAACCTGCCTCCAGAAGCATGAGATGGTATAGGTTCTCCCGCTTGAGTGGGGGGCTGGACTATATGACCTCCAAGGTCCCTTCCAGCTCTGTTCTATTCTAGACTTCTAATTTTTAGAGCAAGTGCAGAACAGAAAAAAGCGGGAGAACAGTTTGGCTGATAACTGGGAATACGAGAGTTAATCCTTGATTTATGACTGGTCTCTAAGTCTTTCAAAATTATAATGGAACCCCAAAAAAGATACTTGTGACCCAGATTTGAAATTATGCTGAGGACCTCCCCAGTTACATGATCACATTTGGGGCAGGTTAGCAACCAGTCTTCCTTCCTTCCTTCCTTCCTTCCTTCCTTCCTTCCTTCCTTCCTCCTCCTCCGCCTTCCTCTTTCTTTCTTTCTTTCTTTCTTTCTTTCTTTCTTTCTTTCTTTCTTTCTTTCTTTCTTTCTTTCTCTTCCCCCCCTCCCCCCTCCCCCCCCTCCCTCCCTCCCTCCCTCCCTCCCTCCCTCCCTCCTTTCTTTCTTTCTTTCTTTCTTTCTTTCTTTCTTTCTTTCTTTCTTTCTTTCTTTCTTTCTTTCTTTCTGCCATCCATCTCAAAACAAAATGACTATGGGTGGCTTTACAACTCTTTGCACGTCACGTGATCCTGTTTTATAATGTTTTTTTGTTGGAAGCTCACACTTACCAAACGGATCCGTACGGACACTGTGTTCGCTGTGCATTTGCTTAAAGAACATGGTGACTCACGTTATGACCACAGCAAAATAAATAAATAAAATTGGGTTGACCTGCTTTACGAACGGTAAGGTTTATATGGCCGCCATTTTGTGATCGATTGCAGCTCTAGAGCGAGGAGTATCTGTAATCGTAAGCATTTTGTGCTGGAATGTTTTTGCCCTGGCTTCTCTTTCAGAGATTCTGTCGCCTTGTTTCCTCTGCAGGTCATCAAAGCTGGAGTGGAGACCACTTGTAAATGCCACGGGGTGTCCGGCTCATGCACCGTCCGGACGTGTTGGCGCCAACTCTCTCCGTTCCATGAGATCGGCAAGCAGCTCAAGCAGAAATACGAGGTAGCCCTCAAGGTGGTGAGCACCACCAACGAGGCCACGGGAGAAGGAGACATCTCGCCGCCGAAAAAATCAGTCCTGGGTCACGGCGACCAAATCCCCAGGACTACAGATCTGGTTTATCTTGACGACTCTCCAAGCTTTTGCTTGACCAGTCGGTTCTCCTCCGGGACATCTGGACGGAAGTGTTACAAAGACAAGAACTGCGACAGCATCTGCTGCGGACGGGGGCACAACATCCAAAGCCGCGTGGTCACTCGCCCATGCCAATGTCAAGTCCGCTGGTGCTGTTACGTGGAGTGTAAGCAGTGTACTCAAAGGGAGGAGGTTTACACCTGCAAGGACTGAAGGACGGTTGTCCGGTGAGCCCCGATTTCAGAGACAGGACCCCCTTGCCCCCTTCTTGGAGACAAAGACAGGGGACATCCAGTGAGATGGCTGAGTGCTACACCCTGATATGATGGAAGCACTTTGAGGGGTTCCATGTCTTGCTGATCCTGCCAAGAGATTGTGGACGCCCACACCACTGGGAAGACCCCTTGCGATGACCAAGATGTGGCTTGGAGACAGAATTCTTTCTCTTCTTGACGAGGGCTGAATTGTCCACCTTGGTCCTTCCGTGTCCCCCTCCTGCAAATTCTCTTGGACCTGGATGGTCCCACTTCATTCTGGAGGAACCCTACCCTCCTGAAGGCCTTCAACTGCAGAAAATGTGCTAGGGAGAAGTGGGCCCTAGAAGGATTTTTTAAAAAGTAATTTATGGAGCTTCTGGGCTCCACGTTCCCATTAGCCATCGAGGTCATTGCAGAAGGACTGTTCCTCAACCCTCCTTCTAACGCTTTGTTGTAGCAGATGGTGAAGATCTTGGTTTTTGTTTGTTTTTTAATTTTACTCCTATTTCCTCCTTGTGCACCCTCAACCTCTGTTTTTTTGCTCTCTTTTGCAATCTACTTGGTGAATTTGGAAAACCACTAGAGACAAAACGAGCCTGCGCTCTTTTCAACCAGCTTTTTGACTCCTTTTGTGATTTAATTAGGAACATGGGTTTCTTCTTCTTTCTTTTTGCCCCAATTTCTCTTCTTATGACTTCAGTTGGCACCTGAAAGCTGCTTTGAAACCAGCGTGACGCCCTGGCTGTGAATGCAATTTGGCACTTCGCCTTTGGGAAAATGGAGAAAGCGCCTCGCCTTTGAGACGGTGATGCGGCTTTGATTTGATTTTCCCACGTCTGGATCACGGCGTCCAAGAATGCGTGTCTCTTGAGGATCACGTTTCACCCGCCTTTATCCGTGCCAATGATATTCTCTGGGGCCAATGAAAAGCCTGTTGCTTTTTTTTTTTTTTAAAGGGGGCAAAAATTACTTAAACCACTAGAAAGCTGCACGTTAGACGTAAAAAGAGAGCAGCCGATGCATATATATATAGGTCTTTGGTTGTTCGGGTTTTCTCCTGCGTAAAATTGGAAGTGTCTTGACGATGTTTCGACTAAGTCCCATTCGTCATCTTCAGGCTGGTGTTTTCAGCTTCGTGCTTCGAGGAGCACGAAGACCACACATTGCTCCTCGAAGCACGAAGCTGAAAACACCAGCCTGAAGATGACGAATGGGACTTGTCGAAACGTCGCCAAGACACTTCCAATTTTACGCGGGAGAAAACTCGAACAACCAAAGACCTACATACAACACCCGCGAAAACCTCAGAAAACAACACACACACACACACACACACACACACACACACACACACATATATATATATATATATATATATATATATATATATATATATGGAGAAATATTAAAGTGGCAGATTGGATCACTAGTACAGCTAGTTCTCAACTTACGATTGTTTAGTGACCATTCAAAGTTACAATGGCATTGAAAAAAAGTGACTTAGAGCCATTTTTCATACTTATGACCGTTTTAGCATCCTGGGGTCACGTGATCCCCTTTTACAACCTTCTAATAAACAAAGTCAATGGGGGAAGCCAGATTCGCTTAACGACCGTGTTACCAACTTAATAACTGCAGTGATTCACTTAACAACCGTGGAAGGTCATCAAACAGGGCAAAATTCACTTAACAAGTGTCTCACATGAATTTTGGGCACAATTGTGGTCGTAAGTTGAGGACTACCTGTGCAAATGTGATGGTCCACACAGCATTCTTCTGATGTGAATTTGGGAATATTACAACTATGCAACTTTTTATTTTATTTTTTTTCCCTTCAAGATGGGATTTGGATGAACAGCTGATGAATTCCTGGGTGAGTCGTCCATGCTTGATGGACAGTGATTTTAAAACTGGTCCAAGAGTTGCATTTTTTTTTTTTGTTGTTGTTGTTGTTCTGGGTAATTGCAATTTGATCCTTTGGAGGAGTGGAACAGAAATCTTAGAATATAGAATAAGGGACTTTAGAAGTTATCTACTCCACCTCTCTGCCTGAGCACGTTTCTTGCACGTTCTCCTCCGGGAAATCACCCCTGTTGCTCTCAGACCCAATTTTAGGGGCATTTTGAACAAAATAATAATAATAATAATAATAAAAACAACAACGGTAGCCTCTTCTATCAAAGCTGTCCTTCTGGGGAATAGGATGGTCTTGGAGGAGACAATAAGACCGGGAGAAGAAGGATGAGATGGTGGCTTGGTTTCAAAGCTGGTGGGATGGTTTTGAGATGGTGGAGAACGTTTTATGGATTAAAAGAGTGGTGACTGAAAAAATGGAAGATAGCTCCTAGCTTTGGGACATCGCTTGTAACTGGTATGAAATATCCAAGAACTGGTGTCTGCTTTGATGGTCTGGCATCGGACCATTCCTGAAGCTACATGCCCAAGAATCTCCTCGCCTAACGGACCGTCTCCGTAGCGCCGTGCAACTGATGGAAAAAAACCAAGCCAAGACTCTAAAAGAGTCTTTATTATTATTATTATTTCAAGGGTGGGATATGAATCTATCTAGATAGATTCCGACACCTAGATCTAAATATTGAACATTTTATTTATTAAGCTTTTCAAAAGTTTTTATGGTTTCCATGTGGTATTATGAAATGGGGCCTCTCGTTTGGACATGTGAGCGTTTGTCGCCTCCCCCCCCCTTTTTTTTTTTTTTGCACGCTGGTATTTGAACCCGGATTCCCGAAGGGGATCTTTCATTTTTTCCAACACTGCAAGCCTGACCTTTGAGCAAACTGCAGCTTCATTTTTCTTATATATATTCTGATAAATGTTATTTGGAAAGGGAGGGTTTCTGAGCCACTGGCTTTGGAAGACTCTGGTTTTCATTTAGCTAAGCCCAGCGGTGGGTCCTGTTTTGTAGAAGGAAACTCGATGTTTTTGCTGCTGTTGGAACAGCTCACCTCCAGGGGCTGGGGGAGGTTTGGAAAGAAATGGGGAAGGGGGGAAAACTGGAGTCCTTGTGGAGTCCTGGGTGCTCTCTGAGGCTCATGGTTTTCTTGCGGATGTTTTGTTACCTAACTAAGTTAGCACTGATGACGTTGCCTAGTTGCGTCATTAAATGTTTGCAAGAAAATCACCAAGCTCAGAGACCAAGGACCCCACAATCCTTCCTCCCCTTCATCTTCTTCCTCCTCCTCCTCCTCCTCCTCCTCCCTCCCAGAAACACCTGTTCCTTCTAACACTGATGGCGTTCCCTAGTTGGAACAGGAAACATCTGCAAGAAAACCATCCAACTCAAAGAGCACCAAGGACCCCACAATTCTTCTCCTCCTCCTCCTTCTCCACCACCACCTCCACCTCCACCACCAACACCAACACCACCTCCTCCTCCTCCTCCTCCCATAAACACCTGTCCTTTCTAGCACTGATGACGTTCCCTAGTTGGATCATGAAACATCTGCAAGGAAACCACAAAGCTCAGAGAGCACCAAGGACCCCAAAGTTCAGTCCTGATCAACAAATATTCTTATCTCTCAGTAAATAGATCTTGTTTTGGGCTACAGTCTTCATCTCTAGAGGATCAGGGTGGAGAAGAAGTCCCAAATTCCCTTTTCCTGTTAGTGGGAGTATTCTTGGGCAGTTGGTCAACCAGAGATATCCAAAATGGGGCAATCCTTCTGTGCACCAGATCCCTCTGTCCATTATTGGAAATTATGGAAAGATGGTGACTTCATAAGCCACTTGCCCACTGCAGCTTCTCAGCCATGGGAAATCTTGATGTAGTTTTTTTGTTTGATAAGATGGAGAGTAATTTTTCCTCTTGGCCATTATCTTAGATACCTGGCCTAAAGATGGCTTTAAAAAGAACTTGCAATCTTGAAGGTTTTTTAAAGCTCATGGGGTTTTAGCCATGTCATCTCAGTTTGAAGATGATCTTGCTTGATTTTTGAAGGCCGTGTCTGAAATACAGGTAGACCTTGACTTGCCACCGTTCGTTTAGTGACCGTTCAAAGTTACAACGGCACAGAAACACGTGACTAATGACCGTTTTACACAGTTATGACCTTTGCAGCAACCTCAGGGTCACGTGATCAAAATCCAGACGCTTGGCAACTGACTCGTATTTACGATGGTTGCAGTGTCCCCGGGTCATGGGATCCCCTTTTGCGAAATTCTCACCAGCAAAGTCAGTAGGGGAAGCCAGATTCACTTAACGACCGGGTAACTAACTTATCAACTGCAGTGATTCACTTAACAACTGTGGAAACAAAAGTTGTAAAATGGGGCCAAACTCACCTAACATGTCTCACTTTACAACGGAAATCTTGGGCTCAGTTGCGGTGGTAGGTTGAGGACTTACCTGTATTGACTAAGGCTCACCAAAGAATGCTCACATCCTATCCAGTTAAGATCCTGGTTTAATCTGTTCTGATGTTCTGCAGATGCCATTGCTATCAGCTCTATGGATTGACCTTGCATTTAAGTTTCTCCTTCTAGCACAATCATAGTTTGGAATTTTTTGTTAATTTGTTAAATAGGCAAACAGGCCATCATCTCACGTCGCTCATTATCAGAATTAATTTGAGGGAACTAGGTTACCGGAAGTTGAATATAAGTCTCATAAATAAATAAATAAGTCTCATAAATAAAACCAGGGAGATGATGGCTTGCTGTAACTTTCTTTCTCTAAAACACTATTTCTCAATCTTGGCAATTTTAAGATGGGTGAAATTCAATTCCCAGAATTCCCCAGTCAGCGTGAGTGGACCAACTCCCAGAATTCTGCATGCTGGCTGAGAAATTCTGGGAGTTGAAGTCCTCCCCTCTTAAAGGATGGCTGGCTGGGGGATTCTGGGAGTTGAAGTCCTCCCCTCATAAACCATGGCTGGCTAGGGGATTCTGGGAGTTGAAGTCCTTCCCTCTTAAAGCATGCCGGCTGGGGGATTCTGGGAGTGGAAGTCCTGCCCTCTTAAAGGATGGATGGCTGGCTGGGGGATTCTGGGAGTTGAAGTCCTCCCCTCTTAACCCATGCCAGCTGGGGGATTCTGGGAGTGGAAGTCCTCCCATCTTAACGCTGCTAAGTTTGAGAAACCTTGTTTAAGATAAGCTTGCAATCTTGGAGCAATTATATCCCCCCCTCCAAGGCTTGACACAAATCTCTCCTTGGAGGAAACAACCAATTGATGAAATTCACACAACCTGTTAAACCAAGATCATCAAACATAGTTATTTCTGGTGTTCACCATAACTAAATTAAGCAGACAGGGTGAGTTTGCATTGGCAGCTAAGCCAGCAACAAATTAAACACCATGAAAATGTGCTCAGCTGCCAGGTCTGCACCCAACCCAGTTAGCATGTTGTGTGAACCAGGCTGGTGTCAAATGTTTAAAAATGCAACCCTGGATTGCCGAAATGAGGCTTATTCTAACCAGTAGGCATAAGGTAGTCATAGGTAGTCCTCAACTTACAACAGTTCATTTAGTGACCATTCAAAGTTATGACAGCACTGAAAAAAGTGACATGACCATTTTCTATACTTACGACCGTTGCAGCATCCCCAGATCACGTGATCAAAATTCAGATGCTTGGCAACTGACTCATATGATGGTCGCCGTGTCCCGGGCTCACGCGATCCCCTTTTCTGACAAGCAAAGTCAATGGGGAAGCTGGATTCACTTAACGACCGCGTGACTAACTTCACAACTGCAGTGATTCGCTTAACAACCATAAAATGGGGCAAAAGTCATTTTAACAACTGTCTCGCTTAGCCACAAAAATGTGTGGCCTAAGTTGTGGTTATAATTTGAGGACTACCCTTATTGAAAGGCTGTTGGCTACGATGTTGAACTATAGTGTAATCATAAAATACTGTTTTTATATATAGTGCAAGAGATTGGCAATCCTCACAGTCTGTACTGCACGTGTGTGCAAGGGGAGAGGCGAAGGTGTGGACGAACTACTGAACAGGGTGGGGTGTGGGTTTTGTATAGTTACGCACGCACTGAAGCCAGAGTGTTTCTGTAAGTATTTTTTAAAAAGTATTTATGTGAATTTTAAAGCAGATAGTGTTGCTTTCCTCTTCTGTGTTGTAAATATTAAGG